ATATATATATATATATATATATATATATATATATATATATATATATATATATATATATATATATATATATATATATATATATATATATATACAAACAGTGCTCAATGTGCTCAATACCAAATAGATAGAGCGTAATATAGTTTTTCGTTTTACCTCAAAATACCACAACAGTCTGTTTCATCCGTATAGGAATCATCAGGTGGTCAGACTGTTGTTGTTTTATTGAGGTAAAACGAAAAATTATATATATATATATATATATATAGTCCAGAGTTACCGTTATGTATATTATGAAAATACTCAGTGGTTCCAGTAACTATTACGCAGTACCTTAGGGTACACAGCAGATGGATAAATTATTTATATAGTACACTGCAAAGTAGTATACAGAGCGATGCAACAAAGCATAAAGAAGCAGAGCATGGTTAGAACTTAGAACTTAATCTATATTTATGCATGGTAACATTACAAGATGCACTCACCAGCGAGGTATCCAAACATCAGTTATGTTAGGAACATTATTGCAACTGACCAAACTTTGACATGGAAATCTCTTCCAAGTCATCAAGCCTGATATTACATCCTGGAATGAAAACGAATAATTGAATAAGCACGTACTGTAAATCAACACAAAACAGTAAATGATGTATTGAACTATGTCGGATAGACTTACCTACTTCCTAATGGCTACTTTATTGTACTAAAATATGTAGATGCAGGGATATTCTGCATGAAAGGACTTGTATATAGAAGTATTATTACATACTTGAAGTTTAACGCCCCTCAGTGTAGAGACTCTACACGACCGAAACTGCACTAAAATGCATGTATATATACAGATAATTCCGTCGGCAAAAACAATGGATTTGTCGGCGAATTTATATTCGTTGTCGGCAAAACCGGCTGAATTGAATAGGAAGGAAAAGAACTACAACATGTGATTGACATTGAGTAAAAAGTAATAGTTATAGAAAAATGAAAGGACTTGTATAGACGTATTATCATATACTTGAAGGTTAACACCCCTCAGTATATTTGGGGATGTACACTTGACTGTAACGGCACTAATATATACATGTATAAATACAAATATATTTGCCAAGTATACTTACTGGTCTTTCAATAAACGGTTTGTCTGGTCTATGTGTCCCACTCTTATTTGTTAACTTGTACCGAGGTAGAGGACAAAGGTGATAGTCATCGTCTACTTTCGAGTAAGAAACTTGAGGTTGTAGAACATGAAGTCCAGGTAACGGGTTCTGAAAATACAAAACAACGTATATAGAAATTCTGTACGAGAACATGCACGCGTGTATATGCACAATATTTTCTCCCATGCGTGCACTTATAGGTTCTACAAATTGTCGTCATATCTGAAATATTCCAGTGAAAAAGTGACCAGCTGGCGAGTAATTCCATTGCAGCTGGCTGCCATCTTATCCTGTCCCATGCATCTAGCAACGATATACTAAATGTGATATTGGCATGATTTAGACTATATATTTCGCGGTTTCAGGATTAATTTGGAATCAGACAGAAACACGTACAATAGTCCATCATGCTACCAGGTGAAACCGTGCACGTTTTTCGCAATCTTAGTGATTCGAAATTTACGATGCTTCAGAAATTATACACTAAAAATGGAGATCAGTTACCATTCTAATATACATTATGTTAATTAACATTGAACATGTCATGCATGGCATCGCAGTTTTTATAAAACATTGTTTTTAATATACCAAATTAGCCCCTATATAGAGAAATCGATGTAAATAAATAAATAAATAAATAAATAAATAAATAAATAAATAAAAGTAGTTATTGATCACATCCAAATAAAAATCGAGAAAAATAACTTACAAAGATCTCTAGTGGATGATATTTCGGTTTCTTGAAGAACGAGCTTGGTATCACTAATCTTGATTTCCCACCAGCAGTTGTAACATCTTCTCTCTGGCCTTCCAGATCCCGAGCTAAGATCTCGTTGGTCGCATTCTCACCCAAATTTGGACTCGCATCTTCCTCATCGAATGTACGCACTTCTAGTATATCAACATTTGCATCACTGCTGTGCGGGAGTGACGAAACTACGTTGATTACTTCGTCCTGGAATTAATTATATATATATAGAGGATATTACACGGCGGCGCGAAGATATGACTTTCATCTTCGAGTGGTGAAAACAATATTTTACGAACGAGCGCAGCGAGTGAGTAAAATATTGTTTTTAACACGAGAAGATAAAAGTCATATCTTCAAGCCACCGTGTAATGTTCTGTTTATTATATAGTCCCAAGCAAAAAAATGTGAAATTTCACTCTCAAAAGCAAATTAGAAAAAGTCACGTGAACGATATCTTCACTAGTGAAGATATGGAAAATATGTCACTGTGTATTTCTCAGTATCTCACTCTCTACTATATAATATATATATATATATATATATGGTCATATATGATAACCTGATATATATTTGTATATTTGTATATATATATATATAAGAAATTGCATATATATATATATATATATATATATATATATATATATATATATATATATATATATATATATATATATATATATATATATATATATATATAGTCCAGTGGTGATTGATTAAAAATTTAGATCTTATCTTATTTAGAGCATGCAAAATTTGAAGTTCCATGGTGATCATATAAAGGTCTCCGAAAGATTTGGTGAATTTATGCGACCAATACAGATATACGTTGGAACTCACCTATATATAGTCAAGAGCTAGCCTTCTCTGTAGGCTGCACGGTGACTTCTTGCATCGGGTCTGCCTGTGGCGCAGGAAATTTAGTAAACCGTGGGTGGGTGTACACGGTGTGTGTTGTCTGTGGAGGAGGCTATAGTCAAGAGTTCACTGACAATCACTTTTCGAATCCATGTATATATAATCATCAGTTTCGTATTTGTCTGAGTTTCATATTTCTCATATTAATTATTATACACTATATATAATTGTTTTTAACATTGTTAAATAATAATATAGCATTTCCCAGTCGACATTTACATAAAACAACGATGAGAAAACATGCCGATAATATTGATCTTAACTATATTTTAATATGGATTATGGTATTAAAATACTTTATTACAATATTTGTTAGTTAGAGTTATCTGAATATAACCTTGATAGAGCAAAAGCCGTCTTTGCATGTTGCTAACCTATACTTGCATGCACATATAAGAAATATTGTTAATAAAGAAATGAATCAAGATATACAATGTCTGGAAGCATATAACTTTGCCAGTATACTTCTCGGTTAGAGTTTACCCTATAAACTGTAGGAGCGTGTGGAAACGTTTCAGCTCTATTGTGTTTTTGGATTCTATATTTATGAATCTATAAACGAGATTTGGATCGTATTGAAAACGTTCAGTTTCTGAAGTTAACATGTGCTTACTTATTGAATCAGGAAAAGGGAGGTATACGCTGTATAGTCTTATATTGGATCTTGTGTGATATAGGAATATTATTATATTCAAGTGGCTAATAATAAACATCTTTTATATTGACATTGTTCCGCAAGGTTTGGATTGCATTCAATTGACATCACAGTATAGTGGTTTTTGTTGAAGGAGTTGAATAATCTGATTAGCAACCATTCTATATGTGTTCAGCCATACAAGAACTGACTGTATACATGACCTAATTGATAAAAATAGTTGTTTCAGCAAAACGTTATAACATGATGGTTACACTATAATGAAACTTACTATATTTCCTCATCTGTTGCATGGGAAGAGCTATTTTACCTTCTATAGTATCAAAAGCAGTGTA